AAAAAAAAAAAAAAAAACACATATAAAAATATAATCATGGTTGACGTTCAGCCCCTTAACCTGGTACATCATTAAATGTCAATGGTGGGTACACTGTTATGTTGGCTCTTCACAGAAGTACAGCAGTACTTGCAAATACTGACTAAATAACTGACTTTTGGGGGGTAGACAGATGTGAGTGAAACAACTGATGTGTGGTTAATTATGAGCCCCTAAAGTGATGCCACACACTGAGAACCAAAGAAACATTAGTTGTGGTGTTAGACATAACTACATCTTTTTAAAAAAAATAACCTCGTGTTTACTTAAAAATTGTATATTATGAACAGACATAGACCAGGGTAGTATTTATGGACTGGAGTACATAAGACAAGAAAGACAAGAAAAGAGGGAGGGGGGAATTTTTCAAAGATTTTTGAAAATAGGCAGTTGGGTGTGGTAGCACAGGCCTATAATCTTAGTGCTTGCTCAGGAAGCTGAGGCAAGATTGCTGTGAGTTCAAGGTGAGCCTGGGCTACATTGTGAGTTTAAGGATAGCCTGAACTACATACTGAGTGAAATCGTGTCTCAATCAATCGATCAATCGGTCAGTCAATAAATAAATGTATGTAGGCATTTGGTAAAATTTGTATGTTAAGGGCACCAGGATTACTAATAAGTATTGTAGGAAACAGCAAAGTTTTCTACCTAATTGAATGATAAGCGCACAAATTATTCCCTTTCACTCCAGGGTACTACAGCTCTTGTTACTGAAAAGACTGACCCCACATTGGTTTTTCCACTGAAGCCAGTTTTACTTTAAAGAAAAGAAGTTTAAAAGACAAGCACTAGCAGAAAAGTATAAAAACAAGGTATAAGAAGTAAAGCCCTATTAATATCCTGAGCTGTCAAAGGCCCAAGTCAACAACTTCTGACATTGCCAGTCTTACAGAAAACCCACTACTATTACGGACTACTGGACTATGTTGGAATATTTTGCTGAATTCACACACCTACAATATTTAGATGACAATGGAATACCCTTTTCTGACAAAACTAAACAAAAAAAGGGGGATACAAATGAATGTCCATTTTGTATCTGTATATTCAAAATAGGACAGATATACAGCTGCATTCTCTTAATTCAATGAATAGAGAGATTTGTCCTAATAGTGTTTATGGATAGGATATCATGTCTGCATCTTGTACAATAAATAACCATTAAGACAATAATATGCAATGTGTTAATTATTGAAACTGTGCTAGTAATCGGTTTTGAAACTGTCTCATTGCTATTTGTTTCTCAATAAAATTATTTTTAAAAAAGAAAGACAAGCACTTCATAACATTGAACAAGAAAGTTTGCTATTAGGTTTACTTTGTAAGATGAGTATTTTTGTATTTAAATACTGTTTCAATAAATTTAATAGGAACAATTTTAGTTTTTTCAATGACCTACTTCCCTGTTAAAGGATTTTTAATAATCACATTGTGAATTCTATAATACTTGCTTTACTTTTCTTACTACAATTACTCATAAAAAGGAGCTGTACAAAAATGATAGGCTGTAGAAGAGATCCTTATTAGCTATGAATATTAACGGTTGTTTTCAGCAATGATTTTTAGTTCATGGTGAGATGAATGTTCCTTTTCTGAAAGTTTTTACATAAATAAAGTCTATAAATGCAAATCAACTTTAGCTTTCATTTTAACTTGACAGCCATGCTGAGCAATTTTTATGCAAACAAGATGTTTTCATATACAGTTTCCAAATGGCTTGTTTCTGTGAAAAACATTGCATAATCAAAAGTTAATATAAATTATCATCCATTAAAATTATCTATACTGAATAACCTCACAGTGGCTGAATTAATTTTATTTCAAAAGCTCATAGATTATAGAAAAGGGGTCTCTCTCTCTCTCTCTCTCTCTCTCTCTCTCTCTCTCTCTCTCTGTCTCCTCTCCTTCTCACCCTTTCTCTCTCCTCCCTCTCCCTTTCTCCTCTCCCCCCTCACCCTTCCTGCTGTTTCCTTCTGTATCACTGCCTTCCCCCCAACTCCCATTGTTTAAGACTACAAAAAACAGCCTACAGGAAATAATGTTGATCATAATGAAACATAAAGGCAAAGGGAAAATTTGAAATAATAAAAAACTTCGACCTTCTGCTTACCACCATTTTCACTCCCTGATGAGATGAAATTGTTTTCTTACATTAAACTGGTATTCATATCACCTCTTCTTTCTTTCTGTAGTGACCTAGAACCAGAATGGCTAGATAGTGTACAGAAAAATGGAGAACTGTTTTATTTGGAATTGAGTGAGAATGAAGAAGAAAGCTGCCTTCCTGAAATACCACCAACGGTGAACCATGTTAGATTCAGTGAAAATGAGATTATCATTGAAGAAGATGATTACAAAGAAAGAAAAAAGTATGAACCCAAACTCAAGCAATTTACCAAAATTTTAAAAAGTAAAAGACTTTTGCCCAAGCGCTATCATAAAAAAAACAGCAATGACAATGGGCCAGTATCCATTTTAAAACAGTCTAATCAGAAAACAGGGGTTGTTATCCAACAGCGGTACAAAGATGTGACTATTTATGTAAACCCCAAAAAACTAACTGTCACCAAAGCCAAAGAGCAGCTCAAACTTCTGGAAGTGCTGGTTGGAATTATCCATCAGACCAAATGGAGCTGGAGAAGAACGGGAAAGCAGGGCAATGGAGAGAGACTTGTGGTCCACGGCCTGTTGCCAGGAGGATCTGCTATGAAGAGTGGTCAGATTCTCATTGGTAAGTGTTGCTGACGAGCATCAGTCCTTGTTTGCACAGAGGCAAGATTAAGGATGATGATTTGTGAGAGGACGATAAAAAACAGCTATGTACAGTCTCCATAAAGTAAGGACTGACGAATGATAATTGGTACAATAGTAAAATTGTACCTTGTATACCACAGGGTGCAGGGATCTTAAATTAAGCACTTTCTTGTACTGAATAAATACATTTGAGCTTTCAGGCCAGGGGGCAGCGGAACTAATTTTCAAGTTAAGCATTATATGAATTTATTTCATCTTGCTTATATTTGCTGACAGGAAAAAAGTTGGTACAATGATAATTTTAGGCTTGTGTGAGTATATCCAGTAAAATGTTACCAAAATATATAATTTATGAATAAAAATACCTTTAAATTGTATGTTTGCACTTGAGTATGCTAAGCTGAACTGGTATGAAATTGTTTCATTTGGCATAATGAACTACAGTGGTGTTACACATAAGTTTCCTTTTAAGGATGCCTGTCTTAAAGTAATCCTACCAATTTTGAAGAAAAACTTAAGTTTTACAAGCTATTCTGAATGTATGCTAAAATGAGCATTTTGTGGTACTGATAAAATTAGATATGTTAGATATAATATGTTGGGCATATACATGCTCACAAACATGATGTTTGAATTCAGTTAAATCCTCAAACTTCTGGTAAGAACTTATTAATTAAAGATTAATTATATTTGAGCATATACTAGTGCAATATAAAATTAATGATGGTCCTTAATGCTGACAGTTCTTTAACTTGCCTCAGTTTAAGAGAGATAAGTAGGTTGAGAAGTCACTTTGCAAGTTTATCTCCCACTTCCGTTCTTGGCCAAAAATATCTGAAAGTCTCTTGCTACATTACATTACATTATATTACATTACAGGTATATCGCAAATAGGCAGACAGTCCCACACAATGTGGTAAATGTTACAATACAGCATTATAAAGGGGATCTTAAGGAATCATGTAGAAAGGGAACCTGTGCAAAGTGTGTATTCCCAAATGGTCACAGCAAGACTTTCACATCATCTTACAATGGGATGTTGATTGAAGCCCATAGGCTAAGCCAGTCCCAGGTCCCTGCCCAGGCACCGCCCATGGGGAAACTAGCTCACTCTGGTCTTTCCCCACTCAGGCACAACTTCTAGGGACTTAATCCTGCTAGTCTGTTACTGAGGAGCCACCAGAAGACGAAAGCCAAACAGCCACAGAATTAGATTAACGTGCCAGCAGTTATTGGGTTGTCACCTCCAGCAGGCAGAGAGAAGCCCCAAGTGTACTGCTTTTATTCACTCAGACCTGAGTGTAAGCAGTTAAATTAACACAAAATTCATCTGCCTTCCACTGTCCATTAGTACATGTCCAGGTAGACAACCTGATCTCAGCTGTCTTTACTTTTCCCTAGAACTGGCAACATCATCCTGGTGTGTTTCCAAGAGTACTTACTGCCTTTCTCTTTGTACTCACAGAGGAGGCTTCTCTGTTCTCCCACAGTTGATCCTCCTTCGATAGGGAGTGACTTCTGGGTCCTTGAATCAGGTGGACCTGTAACTGCAGGTTAAGTGATGCTGTGTGCCTTACATGAGAACAGATGCTTTGGTTATTTGGGGGACACTTGTTCTTAGAACCCAGGCACCATTCTGTGAGGAAGGCCAGGCTGCATGGAGAGGCCAGCATGAGTGATTGGTAGCTTAACGAAAGCTGCAGCCTCCAGAGAAACTTTTGAGAGGATCCAACCCCAGTCATCATCTAGTTATAATTACATGAAGAACCTTTGTTGGAGCCCAGAGAGCCAGGAGAGATACTTATTGTTTTAAGCCACAGAATTGTTGGGATAGTTTATTATGTAGTAATGGATAACTGAAATAGGAGTATACTTGCATTTTGTTAGGTCATGTTTCTTTCTTGTAATGTGATGGGACTGAACAAAACTATCTCTAAGGTTTGCTCTTTTTAGGTCTATAAAAGACCAGGATTCCTGCTTAAGAGATCTTACCTGGTTGTTTGCTGATCAATAATTTTAGAAACTTCAGCTAATGCATTCTCTTTTTTCTTAGGTGGGGCTTTTGCTCTGAATACCTATTTGGATTTGGTATAGACAAATCTCTACAATTCTTTTTACCATTTTTTTCTTGAACCTAGTGTGGAGAAAAGAGAATGGATCATAGGGAATAATACAGTTTCTACCATAGAGCTTCCTACTGCTAATCATTTAAGGATTCTAATTTTCTTTCTCCTTTAACATACCTTCTGACCGAACATGAACGGAAGGCAAAAAGCAGACCATAACTTTCTGTAAGTGTTATAATATGGCATCAGCTATAAGTGTTAAATAATGATCTAAATAAATGTCATTCATTCATTCATTCATTCAATAAATATATTTACTGCCTACTATGTATCAAGTTCCATATCAACATTTTCCTCCAAGCAAATGCATATATGTACAGTATCTATGACTCATCCTCACCACAGAAAACTTATAGATAAGTGGCCAATATATATAAACTGTAAAGTCTCAAAAAAGTATCCATATAGGTAAAAAAGAAGTTTGATCCTCATTTCATACTATAAATAAAAGTCAGTTTTCATACCATACACATCTAAATATGAAAGATAAAAGAATCAAATTTGTGGAAAATGATATAAGAAAGTATCTTAAAGCCTTGATTAAGATTTATGAAATACCACTGACCATAACATAAAGGTTAACTGTACATTAAAATCAACTTAGAGGGCCAGCCAAATAGCTCAGCGGATTAAAGCACCTGCAAGCAGGTGCAGGGGCCAGGGGTTCAATCCCTGGCACCTGCAAGCAGGTGCAGGGGCCAGGGGTTCAATCCCTGGGCCTGCCGTGCCAGCCCTGCCCCCAGGGCATGCTGAGACAGTGACTGAGACTGGGTGTGGTGGTGCATGCCTGTAATCCCAGCTCTTGGGAGGTTGTGAACAGGTGGATCACTATAAGTCCAATCTAGTAATGAGACCCTGAACACCCTGTAGACCCTTCCCTAAAAAAAAAAATTAACATTCCATTAAAACCAGACAGTACTATATGAGTCAAAGGCATATAACTGAGAAGGGGCTTTTTGAAAGTGAACTGTGAATAATAATAAAAGTATAGACAACCCAGTTAAATAATGGACAAGAAACCCAAACAAGTACTTCACAAAAGAGAATATCCAAATGACAAACATATAAAAGTATTTTCAACTTTTTATTCATCTAGGAAATAAAAATTAAAACCATGGAATACTACTACCCATGGTTCTGGTCATAGTCCTGGAAGACATGATCCCAAACATCGAAATTCTGAAAAATCAAAATCCCTAAAGTCTAAAATCTCAAAATTCTTAGTCCCAAGAGTTTAAAATTTCCATTATTTTAATCCTAAATGCTGAAATCCTCAAAATCAAACTTCCCGTGGGGGAAAAAGGTCACATAAGAGAGGTAAAAAGCCAAATTTGGGGAAAAGGATTGGCCATGCAATGTGGCAAGTTAAAAACCTCATTAACTGCTTTGGTATTTCTTCCAGCTGATTAAATTCTAGGAGCTTTTAATGAGTTAAAGCTGCATTTCCTGAGGAAGCCAGCAACACTGCTGAGTGGGCTGAAAATAATTATATACATAGTAGGATAAGAAGACATTCATGCATTGGTGTTGCTGTTTGGTTGTATTATATCTACCAAACTTGTGGTCTGACGCAAGTGCATATGGATAGCATCTCAAAACAAATTTTTAAAAATCTATAAACTGTATGCCAATATAAATATTCTTACTACTTTATAAGGTAACAATGATCAAGATCCTTTATACCTCATTTGGATAAACATAAAGACTAAATCTAATTTGCAAAAATAATTACAGCTATAGGGCCACAGCCAGCAATGACTTTCCCAATTTTTCTACAATACTTTCTAAATTAGTGAGAAAAATCTTGCACTTGTTTCTCATCCACTTCATCAGGGAATATGATACTCAGGAATGTGATAGACTTTGTAAATGTTCCAAATGATAGTTATAATAATTGTTACCATGTGAAAAGACATACACAATGGTTGGGAGGGTCTTAATTCTTTCCTGTTTAGTATCTATATACTATAGATGAGAAACTGAGATTGAAGCAGAAAAAATAACAAAGCTTAGTGTAGTGAATGCTCTGGGTAGTAAATGTTGATTTTTTGAATTTATAAAATTGGCAGTACAGTAACATTTAACCAAAAAATAGATTCTTCCCATGAAGTCAAAGTTGGCTTAGCTTAAATGTATGTGATCTTGTCCTGCTGTCCCATCAGACATCAACTGACTGAAAAATATAGTGAATGTTTAAATTTTTTTAAATTTACCACAGTAATAAACACATAGTCATGAATCCTACTTAAATATTCCCCTTTATTTGGAACATACTTATGCTGTCATTTTTACCACTGTATGAAACAGTTCTGAATTTTTTTTTTTTTTTTTTTTTTTTTTTGGTGGAACCAAGGATTGAATTCAGGCCCTTGCGCTTGCCAGGGAAGCGCTTATTCCACTGAGGCTTCTCCCCGGCCCTGAAATTGTTTCTTTAGTGTCTTTATGAGGTCTGCTCAAAACTACTGTGAATGCTATTACCAAGTATCTTCCTTCAGAAAGGCAGGCTCATGAAAACATTATTGTGTCCTCATTCACCTTACTCACCCAGTCAGATACCATGCAGCTTCTTTTGTGAAGTCAAAATGACCATGAAAGGTAAACATTTTGAAACTATTCAGGATCTGAAGGCAGCCATGACAATGCAGCTAAGACACAAAAGACGACTTTAGAACTGCTTTTGAGTGGTTTTTAGAGATGAGGGTCTCACCTTATAGCTCAGGTTGGCCTTAAACTCATGGCAGTCTTCCTGCCTCAACCTCCAAAGCATTGGAATTGTGGCTGTGTACCACCATGTCTGGCTGACAATGTGTCTTTTACTATAATTTTTAAAAAAGTAAACACTCACTGTACTTTTCTATCACAGGTAACATTTTCTAATGTAGTGCATAAATACCCGCTTCCAACAAAATTAAGCCATGCTGACTTCCAAATATGCCCTGTTTAGCCATCTTTTTTCTTTAGCATTCATAGTCCCTTACTCTTACTTGCTTTTTAATAAGGACTGCTTGTATTACTGCACACGTTTTCTATTGCTGCTGTATTAAGTTTTCTATCTTTGCTGAGACAAAACACCTGACACCAATAGTTAATGAGGGAAAGGTTTATTTAGCTCACTTTTAGAGTTTCAGTCCACAGTCAGCGGGCTCTGAGGCAGAGTGGCATGGCAGACGTATCTCACAGAGGAGAAATAGTTCATGGTGGGCAGAAGTTAGCAAAGCAAACCGTTCTGTCCCTTATATTGAATCCAGTCTACCGGGATTAGGGCACTGCTAGTCCAATCAGTAGCCTGACTGAATAATCACTCACTTTTTTTTTTTTTTTTGTGGTACCAGGGATTGAACTCAGGACCCTGCGCTTGCCAGGCAGGTGCTTATTCTACTGAGCTATCTCCCCAGGGCCATAATGACTCACTCTTAATCCTAGCAGTGCACCATGCATGAATCAGTCACACCAGATTCAGCCACCTATGAAAAAGCCCCACCTGTGCCTGCATGAGGCTTTGGAAGGACATCTAGACATAAACCATAATAGCTGCTATAACAAATTATTACAACTTACTGTTTTAAAACATTGTACATTTATTATCTTATAATTCTGAACTCTAAAATGAGTTTCCACCAAAATTAAGATGGTCATAGTGCTGCATTCCCTCTGGAGACTATAGGAGAGAATCCCTGTTCTTGGCTTCCTCTGAGGCCTTGACAGTGATCCCTTCCACAAACTTTAAAGATAGCAGCTTAGAATTTTCAAGTCTCTCTGACACTTCTACCTCTGAAAAGACCCTTATAATTACATTAGGACTTCTGAAATAATCCAAGATAATTGTGCAGTCTCTTCATTTAATTATATCACTAAAGTTCCTTTTGCCTTGTAAAGTAACATGAGTGCAGATTTTAGGGATTAGGTTGTGAACATCTTAGGGAGAGGATTTTCTGTCTGACACTTTTTTGGTTTTTTCTTTTTGGTAAAATGAGACTCTTTGTAATAATACTAAATGTTTACTGTAAGCAGTTTAGTAAATATAATGAAGCAAAAAGGAAAAAGCCCATATAGCCAAAAGCAACATTTTTATATATGTCCTTTATATTCTTTACATTTATGTGTCATTTTATTTCAAAAATGTTTCAATTAACACATAATGCATGTATTCATATAGTGTTAAATTTCAGTACATATGTATTGTATAGTGAGCAGTCGTCGAATTAATGTAATTAGCTTCTCCATCACCTTAAACACATTTCTCTATATTGGGAATACTCAGAATCTTCTAGCTGGAATTCATGCATCTACAATATTTGGATGGCAATGGAATACCCATCTCTGACAAAACTGAACAAAAAAAGGTGATATAAATGAAGGACAATTTTGTATCTGTATATACAAAATAGTTAAGATAGATGTATAGCTACTTTCTCCTAATTCAGTAAGAAGAAAGATCCGTACTAATAGTGTTCAGACAGGATATCATGTCTGCATCTTGTGCTATGAATGACTACTACAAAGACAATATGCAATGTATTAATTGTAACTCTCCTACCAACCTGTTTTGAAGCTGTCACATTGCAATTTTTTTCTCAGTAAAATTAATTTTAAAAAAGCAAAATCTTCTAGCTGGAATATGAAAGAAATTATAAATAGTTCTTATGTTACATGTTCATTTTGTATGTAGTAGGAATAGATCATAAACAACTTTTGCATATACATTTGTAATAGCCCTTTCTCCTTATGAAGTAGCTGTTTACTATGTGATATTGAGTACATGCTGAGAAATTCATGGGGTTTCTCAGTTAAATTTATATTGAAGAATTTAAACATTGTAACAAACCGATCACTAATCTTTAAATTTTATTTGATAGGTTAGTTTAGTTTTTTGAGACAGGGTTTCACTGTGTATTCCATGCTGGCCTTGAACTCTCAAGTCTCAGCCTCCCAAGTATTGAGATTGCTGGTGTGCACCACTACACCCGGCACTAAATTTTATTTGATTCTTGAATCTATCTTTTGATAAAGTTTTCTTCCTATTTTTACCTATCAACCCCGTCCATTTCTTATGTCACACTTCATTCAGTGCATTTTTGTTTAGCTGTTGAAGTGGGACAGAGCATACTTGTGACTCCCACATATCAGTTAAGAAAAAGCTTTCCTCGAGTACAGGTACCCACTGCTGTGATGTGATATCCAGGAAGCCTATGTGAGTCACTTCATAGACATGTTTAGGAAACTTTAAAGAAAAAAAAACAAGTACCAGAGAATCAGAAGTGTTTAGACACTTCTTTTACAGAAAAAACTACTGTACTCTATAAACATTTAAAGATTTGTACACTTCTCCTTTGAAATTAACTTTTCCTATATTTTCATGATGATACATGACTCCTACTTTTGTTAGACAATACTTTTAGGTTATACCCCCTAAAGCCTTCAACAACCAAAACGTATTCACTAAGGTTTAGAGGACGAAGTCATTTGGGACATTATCCACTGGAGTTTAGTTTAATAGATTTAAAATAGTTTCTCACTGTTTAGTTGCCTCAAAAATAATATAACCTCTAGATAACTAAACCCAACATAACAGTGGTCCAAAAGTTGTTGGGTTTACATCAGTATTCCAACGCTATGCTCATCATTCCTTTTCTTTTTAGAATCACAACAGCTGTAGTTTGGCATATAGTACCTTATATAATTTCTTAGGAGGAATTAGAGGGCCTGCCAAATAGCTCTGGAGGGGCTGGGGAGATGGCTCAGTGGAATAAGTGCTTCCCTGGCAAGCGCAAGGGCCTGAGTTCAATACCCAGTTGCGCAAAAAAAAAAAAAAGCCCAGCAGTTCAAATTGCCTGCAAGTAGATGCAGGGGCCGGGTTCGATCCCTGGGCCCACTGTGCCAGCCTCGCCCCCAGGGTGTGCTGAGATAGCAATTGAGACTGGGTGTGGTGGTGCATGTCTGTAATCCCAGCACTTGGGAGGCAGTAAACAGGAGAATCACTACAAGTCCGATCTAGTAGTGAGATCCTGAACATCCTGTAGACCCTTCCCTAAAATACAAAAAAAAAAAAAAAAAAAAAAAAGGAATTATTAAGCATGTTGCTTTTATTTTTCCAAATGGAAGTGAAGTTGGAAGTTTTAGTTTAGCCTACAAGTTTTTACTTTAAGGAAAAGTTCTCAGGTTGCTTAAAGTACTATAGTAATTGAATCAGTGGCCACTTGGAGCTCTAATCTACGTAGAACTCTGAGCATTGGTAGCCTCTGTAAGCGTTCACGGGATAGCTTAAGAGACGACTCCTAACTCTGCCTACTCTACAAAGGAACCAAGGGAAGAAGAGCAGTAATGAAAGTATAGTGTTTCCAGCTATTCCCCAAATCTAAAGGGGGCTAGATGAAGCCTAGTGGTGGTTTTCTTAAAGAAAACGAATTCTGAATGTAGGGAACATCAGTCTTTTATAAAGAACAATAAATAATAGTTTTGAGTGAGACACTGTCCTTATAACACTGTGTAGTAACCAAACTTGACTTTGCTCTGGAGATAACTACCTCTGTCATCCAAGGCTATTTGCTATACGAATATCTTTGAAAAAATAGACCATAACAAAGACTCAGTATTATGGCTTGTAAGAGGAAGAGAAACTTGAGAGACCCATAGAAAATTATCTATCACACTATTTTACCTACCTATGTGATTATTACCCATCTTCTCCAAAGAACATTAAACTTTATGAGGATAGAGATTTTGCCTGTTTTCTATCTTTAGTGCTTAACCAGTGCCTGACTCACAGTAGATGCTTGATAAATATCTGGTGGATGTGGAGGCCTCCTTTCATATTTTGCTGGCTCCAAGGCAGACTGACACATGGCAGATGGCAACAGTTCATGGTGGTGGAAAAACAGCAAGAGCCAAAAGGGAAGAGCAGTGGCTGTGGCAGCTAGCAAGCCTCTCTTCTTTCCTAATATTGTACTGAGGCTATCTGCCCCAGGGCAAATATAGCACCCACCCATAATCACAGCATTCCATCACAGACTCAAGCCTGCCTCAGTGACTGCCTGAGGCTTTGGGGGGACAGCTAGACACAAACCATAACAGTTCCCTAATGATATATTTTAGAATGATGAAAATATAACTTAGATATTTCTGTAGTTCTATTAACACATCTTGTGGACGTTTCAAAATTGCTTTTAATTAGGTTCTGAAAGTGAACTTTTATTTTAATATGGATCTTTATTTATTACTAACCCGGATAAATATAAGCATTTAAGGAAAGGAATGGAAATGGAAATTTTTACTGAAACATGCTATGTATTTCAATATGGTTGGAACCTTTGAAGCCAAGAACTATGTGTAGACACAAATCAGTAATAGTGAATGCCACAGAATATTGAGTTATGCTCTAACACATGGTTTTAATTAAAACTTCAGCTGAAATTTTTTACTGTCAGTAAGTGGTTAGACTCATTTTGGTTAAATGCAGTATTTGATTTATTCTGAAAATGTTCCATTTGTCCTGTAGGTTTATATAACTCTTCCAGTTATATTTAGAATGAGAATATTCATCTCTAGGTTATATTTAATCATACTGCACTGTTGGGAAGCATTATAGATTAAGAAGAGTAGAGTTGGGATTGCTCCTATAATTTTGGACAAGTTCCTGGATATCTATACACATTTACCATTATATTTTAAGGAACCTAGAATAAATGATTTTTCATGTTTCAGTTCTAGATCTTTTTGGTTTGGGGATAGCTGCACCACTATCTCTTATTGTTATTTTGTTTTTAGGTGATGTGCTTGTTGCCGTCAATGACGTTGATGTGACCTCTGAAAACATAGAAAGAGTTTTGTCTTGCATTCCTGGACCTATGCAGGTATGGATAGTCTTTTCGTATACTGTATAATAAAATACATAAAATAAATATATCTTGTACTATTTTTAAGATTCTATTAACTCATGTATAATGAGGGCATTACATTTGTACTGCGATTTTTAAAAAATTTTAACTCTTTATAATGTTTTTAGCATTAGGGTATTGTTCTAAGAAGAGAAAAATGACTACAGATAAAACTCATTCTAAGCAAAGCAGCAGTAATAATAATAAAAAACATAATTACCAACTTGAGATTATAACTTCTGTTTGTGCTGGTGGCAATCTAGTTCCTAGAAGAATTATTTTAAACAGTTATGGAATTGTTTATTCTCTGAGTTATATTATTGATAATACATGTTGTACATTATACATTGATTGTATATTTCTGTTGTTTTTTATGTGTGGTTTTGTTTACTTTAACAGTTCAGTTTAATTATTAACTTGATTGGCTTGGATGCTGCCTGGGAGATTAGGAACACACACCTCTGGATGTTTCTGGGTGGGTCATGGAGGTGCGATCCTGGAGTCTGTATGTGGCCCTTGGCCCCTTCCTCTGTTGCTATTCTCCTGTTTTATTTCCCTGTCACCATGAACTAAGCATCTTTGCTCTGCCATGATGTTTCTGGCTTGTAGGCAGCCAACCATGGACTAAATCTGAAACTGAGCAAAAGTAAAGCCTTTCTCCTTGAGAGGGATTTGGTTCTACCAGTAAAAAACTTATACATAGATTATACTTTCTCTTGATTTTTCTGTAATGTAGGTACATCTCCTGAACTTTTGTGTGCTACTTAATTACTTCATATTCCTTGTAGATAAAAACTTTATTTATACTAACTCCCTTAGATACTTTAAATACTGACATTTTCTATGACAGATAACATTTTAGTCTATTAAATGTATTTTGAAAGTGCTATACCTTTTAAGATTTTTGTTCTTTATTTAGGATCTGTTCATATTAACATAAGGAATTATCTTTCTCTTTTATTTGGGAGGTAGAGAAGATGATATATTTTAAATGAGTTAGAGGGTCCAAAAGGCAGTGAGAGGATGAAATAATTTGGGGATTGGTCAGGATAAAGAACAAAATCCCTGCCACATAGAGTCTTACCAGGATCTGATTTAGATTCTAAAGTAAGGCCAATAGTAAAATTCCTTATTTTATAAGATTTCCCTTATGCTTACTTTTCTGAAACATATACTGTACATTTGGACAGAGAGAGGCTGACTGACTCTGACTTTGGAAAGTTAGCTCTCTTTAAAAATGTAAAATGAAAGTGCTGGAATAATAATGGCAGCCAGTAATCAGCCTTGTGCAGTGCCAAGTGATAGAGGAGGAGATGAGGTGGGACCAGGGTTGTATTACAAACAGCAATAACCAAGTAGGTATTAGTTATCCATGGTGCTAGAATAGAATGTGCTGTTATCCCCTTTAATCAGTAACTGTTTGAGGATACTAAGATGCATTAAAAGTCCAGGGTACCCCAGTGGGCTTAGGTAGCAACTACTTACCAATTAGTAATGAAGAATTGCAGCATTTTAATCACTGAATAGCTTCCCTCAGAGTGGCTATCAGCCTGGAGTGAGGGCTACTTCTTTCTTCCTGATACTAGTTTAGGTAGACTGCCAGTATTATAGGAGTTCAACCACATTTATGTCTACTACAGAGTTACATTATACTTATACTTCATAACAGTTGCAAATTAAATCATGCATGCATGACAGAAAAAAAAGAAGAAAATAATTTGAATTATTTTGTGTTTTTTTGCAATGTAATTTTTTATTTTATTTTTTAATAATTTTATTGAGAAACAAATAGCAAGGAGACAGTTTCAAAACTGATTACTAGCACAGTTTCAATAATTAATACATTATATATCATTTCCTTAGTGGTTATTCATTGTACAAGATGCAGCCATGATATCCTATCCATAAACACTATTAGAATAAATCTTTCTATTCTTTGAATTAAGAAAATGTAGCTATATATCTATCCTATTTTGAACATACAGATACAAAATGGTTGTTCATTTTTATCCCCTTTTGTTGTTTAGTTTTGTCAGAGAAAGGTATTCCATTGTCATTTAAATATTATAGGCGCATGAATTCAGCAAAATATTCCAATATAGACCAATAACTTTTTTTTTTCTGGTACTGGGGACCTTGTGCTTGCCAGGCAAGTGCTTTCTTTTTTTTTTTTTTTT